AAGAACTCATATATCAACAGCTCGAGTAGCGCACACTACTAGTGCTAATCTCGAGCGTCTGACCGTGGCAGGGGAAGCGTCCAGGGTTCGATGCCGCGACCGTGATCTTTTAAACATTTTGTGAAAGTCGTCTTTGTTTAAGAAGGTCCACTTCCAGTAGCCCATTTTCTCCCCACATAACATTTCTTCATCCTCAGCAAGACCTGTTTTATTTTCCATTACAGTAATTCCATGTTCCAATGAAATCCAACTCTTCAATTTTAACATCAGCGGTCGGATCCTGAAATATGGAAGTGAAACTCAGTAAATTTTTACAGTCAAGTAATACTATAACTTCTATTCGTAAAATTTTACAAGATTTGTTTCCAGTTTCGGACAAATTCACAATATTACTACATAACAACTTAGTAATGTAAGCAGTAAGGGCCCTCTCCTAATTTTAATCTGTAGAAGTGCACGTGCAAAAAACGCGCGACTTCAATGCAAAAATACGCGTGTGCTCTCGGCGCGCGCTAAAACTCTGCGCTGAAAATATTGGTTTGGTACCACAACGAGAGTTTTAAAATTCCCGCCAATTCCAAACTCCAGAAAAAGAATCCGAAATTTTGGGACAGCCAAAAAAATATTTTGATTAATGCTTTTCGACTTTATTTGTCCGTAAACTGACAACTACAGTAAATCTATTTTCTCTACGAACTGGGCACGAGTAACTTGTTTTAAAATACAGCAAATCTATCTTCTCGGAGTGGGCACGAGTTACTTGTTTTAAAATACAGCAAATCTATCTTCTCTGCGAACTGGGCACGAGTAACTTGTTTTAAAATACAGCAAATCTATCTTCTCTGCGAACTGGGCCCGAGTTACTTGTTTTGAAATACAGCAAATCTATATTCTCTGCGAACTGGGCACGAGTTACTTGTTTTAAAATACAGCAAATCTATCTTCTCTGCGAACTGGGCACGAGTCACTTGTTTTAAAATACAGCATATCTATCTTCTCTGCGAACTGGGCACGAGTTACTTGTTTTGAAATACAGCAAATCTATCTTCTCTGCGAACTGGGCACGAGTAACTTGTTTTAAAATACAGCAAATCTATCTTCTCTGCGAACTGGGCACGAGTAACTTGTTTTAAAATACAGCAAATCTATCTTCTCTGCGAACTGGGCACGAGTAACTTGTTTTAAAATACAGCAAATCTATCTTCTCTGCGAACTGGGCCCGAGTTACTTGTTTTGAAATACAGCAAATCTATATTCTCTGCGAACTGGGCACGAGTTACTTGTTTTTAAATACAGCAAATCTATCTTCTCTGCGAACTGGGCACGAGTTACTTGTTTTAAAATACAGCAAATCTATCTTCTCTGCGAACTGGGCCCGAGTTACTTGTTTTGAAATACAGCAAATCTATCTTCTCTGCGAACTGGGCACGAGTTACTTGTTTTAAAATACAGCAAATCTATCTTCTCTGCGTACTGGGCACGATTTACTTGTTTTGAAATACAGCAAATCTATCTTCTCTGCAAACTGGGCACGGGTAACTTGTTTTAAAATACAGCAAATCTATCTTCTCTGCGAACTGGGCCCGAGTTACTTGTTTTGAAATACAGCAAATCTATCTTCTCTGCGAACTGGGCACGAGTTACTTGTTTTAAAATACAGCAAATCTATCTTCTCTGCAAACTGGTTACTTGTTTTAAAATACAGCAAATCTATCTTCTCTGCGAACTGGGCCTGAGTTACTTGTTTTGAAATACAGCAAATCTATATTCTCTGCGAACTGGGCATGGGTAACTTGTTTTGAAATACAGCAAATCTATCTTCTCTGCGAACTGGGCACGAGTAACTTGTTTTAAAATACCGCAAATCTATCTTCTCTGCGAACTGGGCACGGGTAACTTGTTTTAAAACACAGCAAATCTATCTTCTCTACGAACGGGGCCCGAGTAACTTGTTTTAAAATACGACAAAGTTAACTGCTGAATGTTCCCGGTCAAAAATTAATTATAGTTTATATTAAAATATTGTCTATTGTCTATGTTTTACTATAATGCTGGGAGCCTTGTTGTAAAAAATAGGGTACATACCATTACTTGAAAGTCGTTATTTCGGAGTGAGCAACCATTTTGTTGACTAGCGAATCTAAATTGAAATAGTCGAATATCACTCAATTTCAGTTGCAGGTCGTCATCCTTAAAATTAGAGAGCAAATAATTTCATTTTGTACTCGACTTAAGTCAATATAAATAGAAATTACAGCAATTTGAAGTAACAGCATATCAAGCTATATCATACATATTACATAATTATGAAAGCCTCTCAAAGATCTCGATTAAATCTGTAAACGTACATTTAACGGTAAGATATGTAGATAGCGCGCAATAGTTGCGCACGCACAAAACCAATATGACTGCCACACAAAGCAACAAACTGTAACAAAAAATGAAAATTGTGAATTCAACCAGCTTATTCACTATTATCCAACGCGACATTGGTTTGGGCGCATTATCGACACGTTTTAAATGCGCGGAACATTTTTGTGCGCGGCACTAGCATTTTAAATTTTCAAAATTTAAATCATAGCCAGAGTTATGGTTATTTTTCAAAACAAATTTTGAGGCAAATTTTACGTGTAAATTATCCATTTTTTATTCATGATCACTCATAGTTTGAACAATTTTCCTTGGATTGAATTGAACTCTTCGATATTCGATTATTGAGACAATTATCTAAAGAACAAGATTACTTTATAAGTAGTCTCACTATGTGAGTCTCGAGACAGGATACTTGCATAGCTCAGATAGAACTTCATTTTATGCTACTCCTGAAGCACTCTCCTCTCCTTTAGTTACACTTCCTTTCTTGGCCTCCTTTCAGCTCTCAAACTGGGAAGTGGTCATGGTGGTCTAGATTACACATGATACATTTTCAAATGCAAACTTGCAGGTGCCCCATCACACTTCCTTATTGCAGAATTGATGAGACCATAATGAATTGATCCGAGCACTTCAACCTTTGCCTCTTGCTATTTTAGTTAGTTATTATTTTTCCAAATTGGTGATGATTAAGGAGCTGAATCATGGCTCACAAACCTAGTATATAACTTAACAAAGGCTAGCGTTTCATAAGGATACTTGCTGCGTTTCACAAGGAGACTAGCTGTGTTGATAACTGTAACTATCTGCATGATATTATATTCGACCCTTGCAGTTCAAATCTACATTCCTCATCGCTAGAATAATATGTAAACAATGAATTAAATCAGGTGATGCAATTGGCAAAGCACAATCTTAAATCATGAGCAATTAATCTCATTTATCTATCATAGCTCTTCTCCTCAGGGATCAGGTTGAAGGAAAAATTGGATATAGGAGCCGTCCATACCTTCTTTGCCTTTCCACGTATACCTCTCACTGCTACTAGCACACTCCTCATAACATCCATGCTCAGGGGTGTCTTGATGTTACACATCACCTGGCTGTCATTAGTAGTTGAGGAAGCCATATTAGGTGTGTCGATAGCCACCAAGACCAAGGAGGACTACAGCAAGGTATGTGTAACATCAGAACACCGCGACATGCCTGAGCATAGACATTATGAGGAGTGTGCCAGTAGCAGTAAGAGGTGTATGTGGGAAAGCAAAGAAGGCATGGACTGCCCCTATATATCAAATTTATCCTTCAACCTGATCCCTGAGGAGAAGAGCTACGAGGGATAGATGAGATTTATTGCTCATGATTTATGATTGTGCTCTGCCAATTGCATCACTTGATTTAATTTATTATATACAATATTGTTTGAATGACCTTTTCATCTAATACAGGCTAGGTCATCAATTTTGACTTTTTGAGGCTCAGAGATGTAAACAATCAAAACAGTTCTATGAATATCAGTTATTGTATCTAAGTATATTATGTACAAATGCATTATAGCATTATAGAGTGAAAATTGAATATAAAATTTATACCCAAAAACAAATTTAGGAAAACAAAATTTTAAGGAGAATGAATTTGGGGATGGGGAAATGGGGTTAATAACTTCCCCCTCATTAAGGTATGTTGTCAGAGAACACTTCTGAATAGCCCTGTAAGTCTTGTTGTTGTTGTTGTTGTTGTATGATAAATGCAACTACATTACTGCAGTTGCCCTGTCTGGACTGCGCTAGTAGTCGGGGACTAACTAGGTAAGAGTCACAGCATACAGGTCCCGGTATCCATTGCAGGAAAGTGATCATGTCAAGGGTTGGTTGCACCAGCGCTTGTGTGAGACGGGGAGCAGAGCTCACTCCGAAACAGGGACTGACATAGTTGTTATCCTCCACAAGACACTAAACCTCACATTCTTCAATGGAAATGCAGGAATTTATATCACGCAGGGGTTTCGTTAGCCCTAGGCATCCTCCATCACCATACCACACAGAATTGCGAGCCCAGAGCACACTATTTAAACCCGAGGGTACGTGTCTTGTTGTGGTTTTACAATGTGTTTGTGTTATCGCTTTTCTGCTTCCTTTATCTAATTGCATTCACCTATTTTTCGGCCCTTTTATTCACTCTACTGAAATGTGTATTTGGAGCAACTTTACTTTTACATTGTTCTTGTCATGTACAAATTTTTCGCATAATTAGTTAAAAAAACAAGTATTAGAATCAAAGTATGATAGAATTGATTTGAATTAAAAAGTCCCTTGTGGCCGAAAAGGAGGGTACAACCCCAAATAAAAAGGAGGGACCATGGACTCCACACGTATCGGTCAGTGCAATCCTTATAGTTGCCTATGAGAACTGTAAAGAGGAACTTATCTGGACTCTGATAGAACGTCAAAGGCTTGGTACTAACCACAAGCAATGTGATCAATTACAATGAAGGTCAACAAGTATCCTTGGTACAAACGTTTTCAGGTCTCATTATTGTGATTATACTATAATATGCAATATTTAATATTCGTTTTGAAACACTCATATTTTTAATGATTTGAATAACAATAACATTGAATTCTAATACAACTATATGCAGGATGGCAGAAGAAGTTCAACAGCCTGAAGACATGGCCACTGAAGAGGCTCCAGCAGCAGCTGAAGAGATATTAGAGCCACAAACTGAAGAATCAGAAGAGCCTCAAACTGAATTATTAGAGGAGCCTTCTGAGGAGCCTTCAGAGGAGCCTCAAACTGAGGAATCAGAAACACCTCAAATTGAAGAATCAGAAACACCTCAAACTGAAGAATCAGATAAGCCTCAAATTGAAGAATCAGAAAAGTGCCAAAATGGCAATGAAGAAACCAGTCCCCCTGCTGATGATGAATCAGAAAACATGAAGATCATAGTCCGCCATCTTAACTATAAAACCGCTGAGGATACAGTGAAGGACCATTTTGCGAAGTATGGGTCAGTTAAAAGTGTTGAAATTAAGAAAGACCCTGATGGGTCTTCTCGTGGCTTTGGATTTGTTGTGTTTGAAACAAAAGAGGGTGTCGATAATGCAGTGAGGGAAGAAAGACAGGAAATAGACGGTCACGAAACTCTTGTTAGCCTTCCCATTCCTCTGTCAGACAAACTGAAAACAAATATGATGTTCATAGGTGGTGTCAGCAAAGATCTCCCAGAAGATGAACTCAGAGACTACTTCAAAGAATTTGGCACTATCAAAGAGTTGACTTTTACCCATCACCGGGATTCTGGCGAGAGAAGAAATTATTGCTTCTTGCACTTTGAAGAAGCTGAAGCTGTTGAAAAAGTTATGAAAGGAACAAAACCACCATATCCCGCATCTCATACAATTGGAAAGTTTTCAGTGGACTGCAGGAGGAAGTTCCCTGAAGACCATCCAGAAACTAAGAAACTGAGAAAAAGGCAGGAAGCTAAAAGATTTGGGGGTGGTTGGGGTAACAACCAAGGTGGTGGTGGTGGTGGTGGTGGTGGATATGGTAACCAAGGTGGGTATGGTGGAGGTTATGGTGGTGGGTATGGAGGTGGTTACGGGGGTGGCTATGGTGGAGGTTATGGTGGATACGGTGGTGGTTACAGCTCAGGTGGCCCAGTGAGGAGTCGAGGACGTGGGCGAGGAGGTTACCGACCTTACTAAGATTTCTCAGCTATACATCTTTTTTGCGCTATAATTCTTGCCCACTCTGTGAGAGTGACGGCTCTGGAGTCTGATGAAGCAGTGATGATCAGAACTTCTTTTATAAGGTGATGACCAGATCAATCCTCCGTTGTGTTGGGTTCCAAGTTAATTTTACAATTCTTACAAGCAACGAAGGCATTTAAGTCATTGCTGAGGCCATGAAGTATTTATGTTATTTATCCACCGAGTTATGTATACCATATTAATGATAATTGAATACCAGTCCAAGTTTTCTCTATGGAGGCATTTATTACATTCGAAGAAACGGATCTTCTGCATAACACCCGTACCACATTTTCAATGTATATTTTAATTAACAATTCCAGTTTTATATCTGATTTTAACTAAATTCTTCGTTAATTACTTAGAATCTCAAGCACGCTGTTTTATCGATTGACTTGATAATCAGTATCCGCCTTAATCAAAAGTGATTTTAATAACAACCTGTAAATTCTTTTTTTATAGCTTGAAAATTCTCACAACCCCAAAATATATTAGCTTTTTCTGCTCGCAGTCTGGTATCCCATGTCTTATTCGACAAATTCAGGTTCATGTCATAGAAAATGGTGGATTCTGATAGTCTATAGAGTTAACATTCGGATTGGGGACCGTCAACATGAAGACAGTTCTAATGGTTGCAGAAAAGCCTTCCCTGGCGGCATCCATTGCTAAAATACTCTCTGGAGGCAGTTCAACTTCTAGAAAAGGCAGGTATTTGGAAAGCTTGTTAGGTGCTGTAAGATGTTTTAACTTTGCACTATTTCTGCACACAAATTATGAAATTTTCTCGTCATTTCTCACAGATTTGCTTGAATACCTTTTCGCATTATTTTTTCTTTGACTGGAATTTAGATTCTTTATGTTTGTACAATTTAACAGTTTTAACAACAGAGCTTTTCCTTAGGTCCAATCCAGTTCACGAGTACGATACAACTTTTAGGGGAGAAAAGGTTAACATGAAGATGACATCAGTCTGTGGTCACGTGATGTCACTCGACTTCAAGTAAATACTTTAACTTTAACTCTATAATTCTACTTGTTTTCAGTAGGGCTTCAAATAATAATCCCTAGTAATTAGAGGAATTTTAAAATGTTTATATGTGATTTAGAAATTGGTTTGATTTGAATCGTATCTTTTGTTTCAAAAAGCTTGATAAATGTATTTAGAAATTGTATAACCCTACTAACTGACCGTTCATTTCCAGTTCTAAATACAACAATTGGGATGCAGTTGATCCACTCGAACTGTTCACCGCCACGACAGTCCAAAAAGAATCAATGCCCAAGCTTAACATAGTACAGCACCTCCAGTCAGAAGGGAAAACTATATCTTACCTCGTACTCTGGCTGGACTGTGATCGTGAGGGTGAAAATATCTGTTTTGAGGTTATTGACGCGATCAAAGAAGTCAACAGGTTGCGAGATGATCAGATATTCAGGGCCAAGTTTTCTGCTATCACTGACGTAGATATCAAAAAAGCGTTCAACACGTTAGGAAAGCCCAACGAGAATGAGTCCCTGGCTGTAGATGCTCGACAAAACCTGGACTTGAGATTAGGATGTGCGTTTACTCGCTTTCAAACCAAGTATTTTCAAGGAAAGTACGGAGATTTGGATAGTACCTTGATATCATACGGACCTTGCCAGACTCCGACCCTTGGATTCTGTGTTGAACGGCACGATATAATCCAGACCTTCACTCCTGAGCCCTACTGGGTTATAGAGATCTGTATCTCCGCAGAGAACTTTGAAGTTCCCCTGACCTACTCCCGAGGTAGAATATTTGATCAGCAATGTGGGCATATCCTGCTGCTCCTCCTCAAACAGCACAACGAGGCCGTGGTACAAAGTGTGAAGTACAGCACCCAGAAAAAACAGAGACCGCAAGCAATGAACACGGTTGAGATGCTAAGATTCGCTTCCTCAGGTCTGGGGATGGGACCGCAGCAGACTATGCAGGTTGCAGAGAGACTCTACATCTCCGGCTACATCAGCTATCCCCGAACTGAAACTAACTCCTATCCTCCTAACTTTGATTTAATGGGCACCCTAGCTACTCAGAAGAGTAACTCCCATTGGGGTGACTTTGTCCGAAGGCTCATCTCCACTGGTATCACATCTCCTAGGAAAGGCTCTGACCACGGTGATCATCCTCCAATAACCCCGATGAGAGCCGCCTCTGAAGCAGAACTTGGATCAGATGGTTGGAGGATCTTCTCCCTGGTCTGCCAGAACTTCATAGCATCACTCAGTCCGGACTGTACTTACGAGAAAGTAGATATTACGTTTATGATAGGAGATGAGGAGTTTACCTGTACAGGTTCTAAAGTGCTAGATCCGGGGTTTACAGCCGTACAACACTGGCAGAAGATGGAGGACAGTCTCCCTCCGGTACAGTTTGTGAAAGGAGCCAGGTATCGGACCAAGGAGCCACGGTTAACTCAGAAAGCTACAACCCCCCCAGGCTATCTGACTGAGTCTGAACTGATCACTCTGATGGAGAAACATGGTATTGGAACTGATGCTAGTATTCCAGTTCACATCAATAATATATGTGTAAGGAACTTTGTAACGATAGCATCAGGACGCCGGCTGATTCCAAACACACTAGGTATCTTGCTGGTGCACGGCTATCAGCGCATTGACCCTGACCTTGTTAAACCTTCTATGAGATCTGAGATTGAGAAACAATTCGATCTGATAGCTTAGATGGTAAAGCTAACTTTGACATAGTGTTAGCTCACGCTGTGTCGACATTTCAAGCAAAGTACAAATACTTTGTGGAGAACACCGAGTATATGGACCAGCTATTTGAACTGAGTTTTACAAAACTTTCTGAAACTGGAAAATCGCTGAGCAAGTGTGGTCTCTGTACTCGCTACATGAAACTTATCAGTCAGAAGCCTATGAGGCTGCACTGCAAGAACTGCGAGGCAACCTACAAGTTACCCCAAGGAGGCAGCATCAAGTTGTACCAAGGTAACGTTTGTCCACTGGACCAGTTCGAGCTGGTGGTGTACAACGCTGGAGGTAAATCCTTCATCTTGTGTCCGTATTGTTACAATTTCCCTGAGATTGAGGATATGGGTAATAACTCTGGGTGTAACAAGTGTCCGCACCCCACGTGCCTTAATGCTGCTCCACAGACCTCTGTAACATCATGTCAGACTTGTGATGAGGGAGATCTGGTTCTGGATCCTAACTCAGGTGGGAGGCTTTGTTATTTGGTTTGTTGATTTGTTATGTTACTCTAGCCTTTAAATATTGCACTTTTTAATCAAATTTTAAAGCGATCAATGTCATATTAATTCAAATTTCTCCATTTACATTACTTAAAGCACTCGCGCCCTAATGAGATATTCCTAATTTGGTCCCACCCGCTAAATTAGATTACCCATCGAATTACGGGATCAGCATGCATATCAAAAAACGTAGCAGGAATGCATGGGGGCACCCATAAGACAACTTTTGCTTAAACACAGTCGATACATTTTTGATTAGTGAACTTTTTAGTTATAGCCTGTTGTTATCTGTTTGGTGCCGTGTTTTCAGTGAATCCGTTTGTTTATTTATTCCTTATCCGTAGCAAAACATTTGGATCGCTTTAAGTTCAAAGGATTCTTCATGATAAAATATAAGGTTACGTAATCTTTTAATTTATTAATAACGGATAACGATAATTGATCTAACTAATTGACGTAATTGTCCCAGGTCCAGCGTGGCGTATGAGTTGTAACGAGTTGAAATGTACGTGTGTAGTTAAAATATTCACAGGAGCTGTTCGTGTAGCGGTATCTCCGGACAATGATTGCGATACTTGCGGTACTTCCATCCTTACTGTCGAGTTCAACCCAGTACGTTACGTCTTGTTTCTTATTGTATTATTGTTTCTTATTGTACTGTTTTATTACTTTTAATTAGTGCTTTGTTGACAAATTTATGTTCTTGCAGATGTTGTGATATGGGCTTTTCATATCTGTTAAGTTGTTGATCTGGAGTTAAATTGCAGTTGTTCAAGGTTTAATTTTTCTGATAAATTCTAAGTTATTTAATCCATCAAAAAGACTCAAACTTCATATAAAATATCATAAATTATTATTATTATGATTCATATTATGATTCATAATTATAACGAATAATATCGTCGCAGGAGAAAACACCATTCAAGGAGGGAGTCTCTAAAATAATGGGGTGTGTAATTTGTCACGTAGAACTGTCCCCACTGGTTGAACTGTCCAGACAACAGTTTAAACGGAGGAGAAGAGGGCGTGGTCGAGGAGGAAAGGGGCGTGGTCGGGGAGGGAGGAAACCTAGGACTAAGGATGAGGCACTGGATCAATATTTCGTCTGAGGAGGAATGTAATGTGAAGTCGACATTTTTGAGTTTTGCGGTTGTAGTTGTGCTGATCACGGGTGAAGACTAAAGACACTTACGAAATAAATTATTTTTGAAAGCTTTTTAACTTAAACCTTGACTTGGTTGAGTAATTGTTGTTAATAAGATATTGATATTATGTTAGTTGTATTAACAATTTCGCTGATAGGATGATGACCATTTACGCGTTCAATTATTAAAATCTAATATATCGAACCGACATTAGTTTCATGAAACTGTTTGTACGCTACATTTTATCACTCAACTAACAAGCCCATCCTTACTATAGCAACATGGCGATGCTCCAGACGGAAGTAGTGCAGCAGTGTAGTGTCGTAACAGAAGTCTACCAGACTGAAACCCCGACACTCCACCTCCAACAGACCCCGTCAGAAACAACACAGAGCAACTATGTGAAGATAATAAAGAGTATTGGAGCTGGCAGTGTGGTGGATATACTACCTTCAGTTGTCGAGCACATTGTCAGCAACACTAACAAGGTATTTACAAGTATTTACAAGTATTTACAAGGGCTCAATTTAGTGAGAAAACCCGTTTACATGGCCATTAGGGTAATAAATGTTACATTCTTTATCGAAGGAGGAGCTCAAAAACTTTGGTAGCCAGCATTATTTAGCAATCTGTAGAAGTCTCCGCACGGCCACTTTTTAAAAGTTTTTGGTTTAAAGAATAAACGATAAAGATTACATCATAATTTTCAACTTATATTAAAGAAAATGATATTGTTATGTATCATATGATTTTGTAAACATTGGCCGGTGTACAACCGGTCCCCAATCAACAAACAGTGGTGTTTTATACAAAAATCAGAGCGGTGTAATAATTTTAACTGAGTTTATCAACAGATCGAGCGAAGTGAGCTTATCCAGGAAATGGCGCGGAAGTTGAAAGACGAGGCAATAATGTGGCAGCTTGTGAAGCACAACCTCCTCAACTCTATTCTCTCCCAACTTCTGGATATCTTCAGTGGGGAGACTTCTCAGTCCATACAGTTCGAGCTCATGACTGTTATATGCTCCCTCCCTCAGTAGGTCTTGTGTAATTTTAATTAGTTAATTAGTTAATTAGGTGATAAGATAGTTCGGTGTTTAAATTTTTGAATCTTGCTGAAATTATGATTTGTAATGATTGATATTTAATATCTAAATTGTTTTGATTTGGTTTCTTGACACATAGTTGCATGGCCTCCATTACAAGATCATAATATTCCCGGCATTTTGCCTGTTATTCCTGCAAGCTGGTAATTAAATAATATGATAATAAGATAATCACCCTCCAGGTCTCACTTGACAGAGAAATTATTATCAAAACTCCACTCTGCCGCTCTTTCCTCCTCTCCCCTGATCAGAAGACAAAGTCTCCTTCTGGTCCTCAAAACCCTTCCTCCAAACGTTTCTCTTAAGTTTTTACTCGCTTACCTTGATGATGATGTGAGTTGACTAATTATCTCTTTGATATATTATTATGTGACTATATCTCTGCCTATAACAGTCCAAAGTCTATAGTATATGTTTATAGCTCTGTCTGTAACTGTCGAGTGTGGATAGCCCCACAATACTATGACGTACTGTACGTGATAATTTTAATCTGCCCGTGGCCGTGATGACAGTTCTCTGGTGTAATATCTCTCTCTTGACAGGACCCAAGAGTTAGAACAACAGCAATACAGCATCTCCACAAAGCAGCCGACTCTGGGTGTGACATACCTTTCTCTGTTTATCACAAGCTTATCGCTAACTTATCTGACTCCTTCGACGAGGTTTGCTTTACTTTTTGTACATTTAGTAAATTCACGATTGTTAATGACTTGTTTGATGTGACATCTAATTTTACTGATAGATATTAAAGTATAATTTATATATTTGTAAACCCAGTAAAATAAAACTAATGTAATAACTATAACTACCAGGTGAGACTACACTCAGTTCGTTTATTACCTCATCTGGTTAAACAACACAGACACGAACATCTAGAAACTACAGGATCACGTACCACCACCCTGACTCACCATACATTCGTTCAGGTAATATCGTGTAATCGTGTAGTACATGCTTGGAATCGTTTATATTTTAAGGTAATTTAGGGTATTTGAAAGATCAGTGGCGTCGCCAAGTTCTCAAGGATTGCATGTTCTTGGACTTTTAATTGTGGCGGTATTGTTAAATTCTTTTATAAAACACGACTCAGCATGATAATCATAACCCTATAAATTTGTATCTTATTTATATATACATTGAATTTACTAAAGTACTTAGTGCTACTCAAGTTAACGCGCCATTATGCTTCAGCTGTGTATGCTAATGAGGGACATGAGCACTAATGTCAGAAGTGAAGTGGCTAGAGTCCTGGGATTGTTCACTGATGTTGACCCGGTATGTTAAGTAGTAGCTGATACAGGGGGCCGGAGGGGGCCAAAACTGATGTACATTCTCTGATATATCTAACATAATATTAGCTATCGTTATTTTATTGAAAAACTATAGATCTGGAAAATCAAACAGAAGAGAAACTCAACAATACGACCTTTTGATGTCTGATAACCACAGGAGTATTTGAAGCAGACCCTAGACAAGAAGATACGGTCTAGTATGAGAATCCTGCCAGCGGGTTCTAAAATGAAACAAGAGTACGCTTCGGGTCGTAAGTGGGGCGGCGACGCACCCATTAAAACTGTCAGCGGGGAAATAAACATATTTGATCCGGGTAAGTTGATGTTAGAACGTTTTTTATGTGAAGAATTCATGCTATTTTAAATCAAATTTCGAGCATTTATGTCTTTCCTACTCATCGAAATGAAGAAATATTGTTTAATTGATAACAATTGTCACTAAATTACCATTTTTCTAGCTGGATGCGGAGCGTTTATCCATGGAATGGAGGACGAATTCCGCGCAGTACGGAGCAACACAGTTCAGGCCATGTGCGACTTGTCCACTAGTTGTCCTGAGTATGGAGCTGTGTCCATGTCTCACCTAGTTGATATGTTGAACGACGAAACTGGGGGAGTTAGGTTGCTGGCTATACGGTCTCTTCAACTTATCAGCGAGGTTGGGATTATTACTTACTATTATTTTAGAGGGGGGGATCCTCCTCCTCAGTCCTCCTACTCCTCCTCCCCCTCCTCCTCAGTCCTCCTCCCCTCCTCAGCGAGGTTGGGATTATTACTTACTATTATTTTAGACTGTTATTTTAGAGTGCTGTGTTATTTTAGATTTAATTTGCTCTGTTTTCACTCATTGATGGTTTTCAGAGTGTGCACCTACACGAAGATCAGTTAGAAACAGTGATGAGCGTGTTAGAGGAGTCAAATGTTGAGATAAGACACAGCTTACATTCCCTTCTCTCGTCCTGCAAACTTAATTCACAGGTAGTAAGAATTCCATTCTGTAACGAAATTATCACGTACTGAAGAAGTTACCACGTACTGAAGATAAATTTCTTTAAATTTTGTAGACTTAAGATAGACGGTCACTGTCCTTTTGTGTAATATGAACGTTATTGCAGGTTGCTGTACGTCGTGTTTTGAAAGGACTCCTAGATAACCTCAAGAAGTACCCGCAAGATAAGAGCAGTATATACAAATGTGTTCAGGGGGTCGGTGGCAACAACCCAAACTTCGTCTCTCTCTTGGCTCCAGAAATGCTAAGGTTGGCGCCCTTTCCAAACATAAATGGCAATTTTTCCTGATGCGCTGTATTTTACGGAGCGCGCGGAAAAAATGGATAGTAGAAAGCTCGAGTGATCTAATAAAATTCGTGCGCGTTCGAGATGAATTTATTTTGCCGCTTATCTCAACCAAATTTGAGGTGCTTTGTTTACTGTAGCTATTGTTTACTCTAGCCATTAGTCAAGAGTATATACCGCAGTACGTACTTTGAAGGGTTGCCGCAGTTTCAAATCACGTACTGAGACCGTACCAAATTCCAAAACACGTACTGCATGCAGGGTGTCATAATTATTAGCGCGTTGGAAATTGTTGCTTACTCCACCTGTTTAAAAGGATAATGACTTGACTTCTGATTCAAATTTCCTATTTAGTTTTGATCTTTCGAGAGGCGATGCTAATAGTAATGCAAATTGTTAAATATCTGAAATCCTACTCCTAAAAAGAGAAGATGCTATTTGAATGATTATACCCTTAAATTATAATAATAAGAAGGCACTGCACAATGCCACGTCGACCAATAGAAATATGCAAGATATCTCAATTAGCTTAGTAAAACTAGACTCTCGTACATCCAGATTTTTGATAAAACTCAACAATTTCGGTGTCTACGCACTAATAACATAATTTAACTCATGTATCATTCTTATCGACACTACAAAGCAAATGGGACCGTTTTTTAATAAAATGTCTTTTATCCGACTACTCAGGTATAAGACTTTATATTATTATCAAATCTCTCTGTTCGGGAGAGCGGTCTGGGCTCACGAAAACAGTTTTGTAGCTCATAAGGAGTTTCAATTTTTGAAAAACATCCGCGAAAAGCTGGCCAGCACCAGACTGGTGCGGGTTTTAATAGCGGTCTAAAATCAAATACTCTCAGCAAACATCCCTACCTGGCTCAAACGGAGCCGAGCACGGACGATACCTCCTACGTGGCGACCATGATTCTTGTTTTCAACGCAGCTAAACACAACTCTGTGATATTTTCCTTCTTTCACAGCTACACCCCTAAACACTATGTTTACATTTACAGTTTGTTGCCGGAATTGGTTCCTCAGCTACCCCAGGTACTTATTTTTTAATTGTAATAATAATTCGTGTGCCATCCCAAAATGAAATATTTTCTGATGTGGTGATCTGCTTGATTGGATGATTTGGATGGTAGAAAATATGCTTACAAGATTATTTGTCAGGTCCACAAGATTCTGAAAGGTTCGGACGTATCCGCAAACATCGACTCGATTACGTCATCCCTCAATCTTATCTTGAAACAGTTCTTGAACCTTTGTAAAAGTGGTGCTCACATAGCAGCCATGACAAAAACTCTGGAAAACATTGAAAAAATCCAGAAGTGCTCGACTCGCATTCATCCCCAGACAAAATACGCATCTCTTCTCGTGAATATTCTTCTGCAACTCTCCAAGTTGAGAAACATTGACAGAAAACGTATGGCGGACGGCCATCACCGAGTTCTGTCAAAAATCAAGGACATAGTCTGTGATCTGTGCTTGTTTCAAACTTGTTTCAGAGGATCTGATCATATCGTGTTTTTAGGAAAACTTCTCAAATTCTACTTTATTCAGTTTCTGCACCAACACATAGCAATTAAAGTCATAACTGATGAAGACATTGCCCGTTATCGGGACCACGTACTCAGTTTCGCGGGTGAGAACAACTTACCAGTTCCAACTCAGATCAGGGCTGACAGAAACTTCAATCTTCTCCAATATATGCATTCTCAGGACACTTTAGTCACCTCTGACACAACTCACTCCCGCGCTACTATTCTCTCCCCTCAAAGTAACACAGAGCGTGTAAACGAGTTCCCTTCTCATCTCTCATACTCAGTTGAAATAGAAGCAGAGACACACCACGTGGAGCCCCAGAATCTGGCTGTGAAGGTGAGGTACCCTGGATTCAGGGAGGTGGTGTGTCAGCCGGTCGTTCAGAACTATCTCCAGGATTACTATCAGAACACTGTGTTTGTGGGTGGTGTCAGTTGGTCAGATCCCGGCCTCATTCAGGTCAGTTTGGTTACAGAGTACAAGTTTGAGGAGTATGAAGAGTGTTTGGCTAAGCTTTATGGCGAGGAGAAAGTTTGGTTGGAAATATCTGATTCTGTGCAACTGAAGATACACCCCAGACCCTCTAAATAGCGGGGGTGAAAATTAAAAACTTTGCTCGTTTTTGACGATGAGATTAGTCTGTTTTGTTAATAAGTTTTGTGTATTATTATTATTATAAAGGGATCTTACCGACAAAAATGATTCTTAAAAATACCTTAATGCGGTAAACTGTACCCTTGAAAAAGATTTTCCCAACATCTGTTGCATGCAGCTATATCTCTAATTTCGTTCAATTCATGCAAGTTGTCCATTTGCAAATTTCTACTACTTAAATCACTTCTTAAAACCGATAACAAGTTCATTCTAGGTCTCCCCAATCTACCAATGAATAAATTATCTGATTCAATAGCAAAAGAGAGAGCCGTTTGGGCTGGGGTGTTCTCCATACTCCTGAGATTGTATTTATAATTTAATTTCAAAACCCATGATCTACTTTAAATTCTTCAATGTTTAAGATTAATAACCAAAATATACCATTTAATTTCGTAGCATTTAAGCAAGCCATGATCGTAATGGTAATAGAAAAATATTGAATATAATCTATGATGATTGTCATGCGCGCTAATTCAACCTGTAGTGTTATTATTTTACTTGTGCTTGCGCTGCAAATATTCCGTATTTACAATTTAACACCTACAAGGAGTAGTTAATTAAATGTGAAAGACCCCGTATTCGAACGTATTATTTCTAGAGGTCAACGTAAGCATTTGGAAACCCCCTCTGCTGATTACGTAATATTGGCATTGCTCTAACCCAGAGCCCTCTCGCTTGCAGTAGCGCGCGACCGCCGAAATAGTACGCGTAGACTCATGGCTAGTATATAGTATACCTTAGGTGCAAAAATTCAATGCCGAAAAATTTCAGATTAACTCAAAACGCGGACGAAATTTTCCGGCATTAAATTTTTCGTCGACGAAATTTTTTAACGACGAAATATTTGGGACGCCTACTTTTTTGGTATTTTTTGCATCATTAAATTTTGGAAGTTAAAATCGAGTACTACTATTATACACTATACTAGTAGAGGCTCTTACGGGCATTGTCTGCTCGATACGCTAGGGACCCCAGATACACCTTACTAGACGTATTTTTAACCGTAGAATCGATTAAAAGTAGTTTTAAGATGATTGGACTGACTTTTTGGGGGTAAAATTGCAAAAAACCGATTTTTGGGCCAAAAATAGGCCAAAAAACCATGTTTTTTGATATTTTGAACAAGTTAATTTTGTTGGCATGTCGGCAAAACTTGCATGGAGATAGCTAAAACACAGCCGCACAAGATGATATAAAAATTTGAAAAATCCCTCTATTTTTTTGGGGGTAAAAATCCAAAAAAGTGGTAAAAATTTGACTTTTTTTGCTTGAAGTTTGAATAATTTTTTGCAGTTGTATTAAATCAACCCAAAAATAGTCACATCGTGTTTGCCTAAATTTTTCCTTTCCGAGAAGTACCCACTTCATATACTTTATCGAAGTTTGAATATTGTCACTCCGCAAGCGTTTTTGCCAAATTTTCGACGCGCACTACGCGCAAAAGCATTTAGTTGTTATCAATTGGCACCAGCGCGTTCATCATAAATTTCAAACAGCTATAACTCAGCGAGATTATATCTAGCTCATATTTTCACACTAACTAGAAAATAATGTGATCTTATTGCTGACAAAATATGAATATAATTACTCTATTTGCCTTAGAGTAATAGACTGTCAAAGTTTAAAACGCGCATTGGTATAGCACGTGACTAATAAGGCCAAATTTATACTTCTTAACATATTATCGATCCTTAGACATCATATTGATTCACGATGTCAATCCTTCGCAGCTCGGTGAGGCACAGTGGTGCATCTCGCCGATCTACCGAAGGTAGAGAAGCATTATTTGATGCGCGCGAGAAGCATTATTTGATGCGCGCGCGACCCAGTAGTGCATCGCGCTTTCACATAGCCATGTGCCTACGCGTACTGCGTGACGCGCTTGTTTCACAAGTAGGATAGGCACATACAGATCAGCACACATAAGATGGTACGTGTGCGCGCGCGCAGTGCTGACAATTGCGTCGTATTTAACCCTGGGTGCACGTACATCGTGTGCGATGATTGGTCTCTATTTGAGGGTTTATGACTATTCCAAGAAGTTTTTAGACGATGAAATCAGAAATACAGGAATTGTGGTACAATAAGAATTTAGAAATTTTAAAAATCCTACGATTAAAATACAATTTGAATTACAACAGGATTACATAAAAATATAAGTATTCTTTGTATGTTATAAAGAAACTAAAAAGCCCGTGGTCACACAAAGGAAGCTAATAGTATTCTTTTTAGTCAGTTTTTATCGCATCAAAAATATCTGTCACGACCGAGTATACAGCCCATTAAAATATAGCTCGCAATGAACACAACGTATAATTAACACAAAACCGATAAAAATGTCGTTTTAACAATTTTCACGTGGACGGTCGTACAATGTACAAACATAATTCTTGAATTACAGTAGAGATAGTTTTACAATTTGAATTGCATGTAAATAATTTTCAAATGATTCTGTCATAAATGCTAAAAACAATTTCGTACATAAACAAATAATATGTACTAAATAACTAAAGACAATTTCATAGAAATGATTACGGAAGATTACAGATTGAAAGTATAAATGATAACGAGATTAAATCACACTTCGTGATCCGCAAGAAACGGATTCATTTGCATAACATATAACCTATAACAATCCGGTGACCGACAACCAATCCATCCGGTCGCAACAATCACTTCGCGATCAGTAAGAAACAGGTTAGATCTTTCAGTCCCAACATTGACTTCGTAATCAGTAAGAAACGGGTTCATTCCTGCAGGCCCAACTCCGACCGGATGCTGAAAAAGTACATGTTGTCATTGACATATTTACTCATCTGTAAATGTAATCTACTAATCTGTTACGTAAAACAGCAAATGATATATTTCAGCCCCTATCACTTGATCGTGCTAATATTTAATATGTAAGATACATTTTGTTCTTTACTACTGCCCGATCGGATGAACTGGGAAGTTAGGGGAGAATAGTGGAACTAATAATATTTTCACAATAAATGTATTTAATTTTAATTGCGGTTGTGAGTATATGTAGTTAAACATTGACACTGAAATGATGCGAGAGATACTCGAAGCAAGATCTTTTCTTTTGTGCTAATAAGGACATAAAGTGCTCGGTTGATCAGGAGCGAGCTTAGTGTGCAGTGTGAGCTGAAGACGATTTACACAAGTATTTTGAAAGCTCCTGCTAATAAAATCCTTTCATATCACTTGTATGTTTTAAATATCCCCCTCCAGGTTAGTGTGAGTGTGTGCAGTGCAGGAGCGACACGGGCGATTGTGTCGCTCCTACACTACACTCTTAATCTCGGTTTACCGTGCAACTGCAAGGCATAATGCAGAAGATCTTCTATTTCAAAGTTAGCTACTATACTATCAAAGAAAGCTTGTAGGATCAGAGGTTATAAGTTGGCATCATACAGCTAAACTGAATATAAGTAGCAAGTTTTGTGAGATGTGCTTCATTGAGCGGAAATTAAAGTCACGACGACGTCGCAGATTGTGAGTCAGCGAAGCTACATTTACCGACTTCGAATCCCGGACCTTACTAAAATGTATTCCAATGAAATCGCAAATTTGGAAAGAATTAGCTACGGTAACACGACATCTGTCCGACAGCGACTCTTGTCCGACTCAAGTTATCAGAAAAAAAAACATATGTCCGGAATTGTGATATAATTTCAATACGACACATTTCCAATTAGAGACATGATCTGAACTGATACTAGCTACTTTGTATACGTAACATTTCCAATTTGATATATGATCTGAGCTGAACTCTACCATAGTTTATTTTCATTTGATGTCGATAAATTGGACAAATGTTATATATAAATCAGTTCAGGACATGGTCCTTCGAGCCTTGCTTGCGTCGAGGGGTAAACTGAAGATTGGTTGCGTTTTTGGATTGCGATAACTGATTCCCATACCGCTCTCTTATATGCACTGTAGGCTGTGATGTGATCGACAGCCTGTTACAGCTTGTTAGTGTACGGCTAGCACGATCCTGTCCTCAAATAGTCAATCACGTATCGATGGATCGGATCTCAATGGATCAAATCAGGATTAGGACAGTGGGAGCCACTGGGAGACCTTGGGTCAGAAAACTGATCCGGCCCCCAAGAGGGGTCAGATCACATCACTAATTAGTGACGTATAATTAGTGATGTGATTCATGGATTGAATATAATTTACACAGAAATGGGCTAGATCTGGGGTAGAGTTCACATGTCAATTCTGTAAATCATAGCTGTACATTAAGAAGTAAACATGATCTGACTGCTCGACTCGTAGACCACATGGTTCTCGTATCAAGGGATGTGAGACGTACTTGCCAAAGGCATGTAAGGGGAGTGAGCCGATCAAGTGTTCTTAGGTATATATACTGGAAGATAGAAGGTAGTAGTATCGCATTCTATCAACAGTCATGCCTACCTTCTCCAAGTTCCTAAATGGTTCCAGAGGATGTCAACAAGTGCTTGATTCTGACGGATATATCTACACCAGGAAGAAATCTGATGACAGCGTCCTCTCCTCTGCTTGGCGTTGCCAGAAGAACAAAACAACGCTCAAGAGGAAGGCTGCAGAACAACCCCTGTCGGTAGTATCTAGATAGCCCGACCCCTGTCCGCTCTATCACATTGAGTGGGGTAGAGCATAGTTTTAAAGTCTACAGACTTCAGGTTGTTGAGTTCTTAGGTCAAAACCTATTTTTACGCTCTCGCGAGTCGAAATTTATGTACTTATTACCTCGGGGCGGAAGACGTTTCTACCGGAATATTCTCAGATCCTTGTTAAGTTGCCTTGTACTATTTGTACTCGAGACTTCCTATTCCAGAAAAACCTCCTAAAGAGCTCCATGTCCTGTCCTGGGTGTAACGCATCTATGTCCCTGGTTCCCTGCTCGTAAGGTTGCTTGATCGTTTCATAAGCCTTGACACCACCGCTGATTGAAATTCGCGTGCGATGATGTGAACCCTGCTTGATTCAGGGGATACTTTTATTATGCAGTAATATGATCTGGTAGACAGTTGTTCGTGGACAGTTGTCCGCGGACAGGGGCGGGCTATCTAGATACTGCCACATGTTCATACTTAATTAATTTCAATGTTCGCAAAAGTTGTGTCTTGCTATTTTCCGATTAGTTGCAGCCAAATAGTACAGCAGGTCACAATTTAACTTTGATTCTTTCTTACAGCAGGCAACTTAACAAGGATCTGAGAATATTCCGGTAGAAACGTCTTCCGCCCCGAGGTAATAAGTACATAACAACAACCTGAAGTCTGTAGACTTTAAAACTATGCTCTACCCCACTTAATGTGATGATGCTGACCATTTTCATGCCCAAGATGAGCCCTTAGCTCCCATCAGAAGCTGAGATATCTTGTAATAAGTACATAAATTTTGGCTCGCGAGAGCGTAAAAATAGGTTTTGACCTAATTACTCAACAACCTGAAGTCTGTAGACTTTAAAACTATGCTCTACCCCACTCAATGTGATGATTCTGATCATTTTCATACCCAAGTTGATATCCTTTCTCCAATCAAAAGTGGAGATATGTGGGGTTAGAAATCACGAAAGCGTCAAAAAGGGCGTGGTCAATTGAGCAAAACTGCCCCATATTCAGAAAGTCTACCCAAGCCAAATTTGTTCCTCGGGGCGGAAGACGTGTCTACCGGAATATTCTCAGAACCTTGTCTAGTTGCCTGCTGTAAGAAAGAATTAAAGTTAAATTGTGACCTGCTGTGACTATTTGACTGCAACTAATCGGAAAATAGCTAGTAGTGGCCGATTAGTAGCCACTTTGTGGCTACTAGCCGATTAGCAGCCGGTTAGTAGCCGTCTAGTGACCACTTTTCAAGTGCCGGCTAGTAGCCTGCTAGAAGCCGGTTTGGGACCTCGAGAAAGTAGGTCTGCTTTAGAGACAAGCTAGTGACCACCTAGTAGCCACTTTTTGGTCACTAGCCGGCTAGTAGCCGGTTAGTAGTCGGCTAGTGACCACTTATTAAGTGCCGGTTAGTAGCTGGTTTCATGTAAAATATCTTTTAAGTGCCCGTACAGTGGCCATATAGAGGCCGTATAGAGGCCGTATTAATAGTGGCCGCATAGTATAGGGGCCAAACCTAATCGCCCATTTCCCCATATGGGAGCATATCAATCATGAAATGTTATGAAATTTAATGGTAATATGTATTATATGGTATCTTGCAATTAGTTATTGCTAGAATAATTTGCCATTAATTGTAGCATAGTAAATTGCTGGACCAAACTATTGATAACGATTCAAATGTGGTCTCTCGGATATAATTAGTTACGAATAGCACTGATTGTAGCGTAGCATATAATAATCATTATTATAAAACAGGATCTTACCGTCAATAATGATTCATAAAAATACTTTAATGCGGTAAACTGTACCATTGAAACAAATTTTCTCAACATCTGTTGCATGCAGCTATATCTTTGATTTCGTTTAATTCATGCAAGTTATCTATGTGCTAATTTCTACTACTTAAATCACTTCTTAAAACAGATAAAAAGTTCATTCTAGGTCTCCCCAATCTTCTAATAAATAAATTATCTGATTCAATAGCAAAAGAGGGGGTGTTCTACATATTATATTGCTCAATGAAATAAATAATTAAGATTTAAATGTGGTATAGAAGTCGTTCGTTTTTGGTGGAGTATTATCAGTTGCCATCAACAACAACAACAACAACTATTCCAATTACTGACATGCAGATCCCGGCCGGGATTTGGCGATTTTGTCCCGGTCGGGATTTTGTTTTTAGCCCAAAGTTCACGAACCTGTGAACATTTTCCGTAAAGTTTTACTACAACAGTGCTCTACAGTGCTTCTTAATAGTTAGATCATTTCACTTTCTCGTCGCCAAAAGTTTATTGAAAATTCAACTTTCAAGTCTTATGTGAAATACTGATATCTGGATATTATCCGGTTGGAAGAGACAAGGACAAGTGAAACAAGGAAGTTAGGAGTAAGGGCAAATTTTCGGCGTCAACGCCATCTTCAGGCTAAAATTGTTATAAATGTTAGTATATAATAAATGCTTCTATACTAGTTAAAATGCTAAATTAAAATTACACACACTGAATACAGGTTACATCAAATGGTATTGTTATTTACATTGAAAATAGTGATGTACACACGTTTTACACTCTGTCCAAGTACATAATATCTACTGAACAGCAGGGTCGTGTGCTATTTGTTTAAATTTGTCTTTGAATATGTTGTAAAAGAAATCCCTTAAGCTTCTCGCACTCTTCTTTGTTATTGATACTAGGTTTAAATAAATTAATGTAGTAAGCTTCTGTCACTTTACGTTTAATGGTGCTATATAAGTTAATTTCTAAAATATCGAAGGAAATATCTGGTTCTATGTTATCGTGAAACTCTGAATAATGAGCAGCCAACGCATTATCAGGATAGGTTAAAGGCCTGTTGACTGCTCTTCGATGCTCTGAAAATCTATCGTGTGCTGTTCTACTCGTTTCCCCTATATATAGCTCTTGACATAATTTACACGTAACTTTGTATATGACACATTTTGGTTTGCAGTCGTGATTTGTTGTGATGAGTGGACATATGATACAGTTTGGTATGGTGCAGTGTGGTTTGTCGTGTGGTCGTGATGAACATAAGATCTCTGAGAGTTTCTTACCTGGTGTGAATATGAATTTGACCGGTAAGTTGTGTGAGAGGGCAAATTGAGTGACTTCTTTGGAAAATGGCTCGTTGATGAATGGTAGAGTGCATGTTACGTGGTCGGTATCTTGTATGTTTGATGATGAAGGGTTATGACGTGTTGTAGGTGAGAGAGGGTGAAGTCGTCCTGTTTTGTTTATACGTCGTGGGTCTTGGTAACCGTTGTTGACCAACAAGTTGTCTACTATCTTCATGGACTCTTCTTTATACTCTGGTGTTGATGAGCAAAAAGCAGCCGTTTTGTAGAAGTTCTTGATGGTTGCTACTTTAGTTCCCTCATTGTGGTGGCTGTTGGCGTGCAGTGTGATATTCTTTTTCTGCTTCTTTCTGTAGAATTTGTGGTGTAGTGTTCCCTGTTCGTCGATCTTTATCTGGGTGTCGAGGAATGGGGTGAAATCCTGACGGCTTTCCGGATAGTCAATTTCCCATTTGAGCAACTGGTCTGGGTCCTCGTTTGAGATGGACTCCACTATCCTCAGAGCTTCTTCTTTGGAGCTGGCTAGACTCTCTAAATTTGCCCTTACTCCTAACTTCCTTGTTTCACTTGTCCTTGTCTCTTCCAACCGGATAATATCCAGATATCAGTATTTCAATCATGAGACTAATAAACAGCGAACTACTCCGTTATTTGATATTTCTTATGTGAAATGTTTATGTTACATGATCAAAATTCTATGAATTTTGATCTATGGTAGTTGGCAAATTTCAAGTCAAACAAAATTTACTAATGTTCAAAATTAATTATATGTTCAACTGTTCACTTCATGAGTAACAAATTACAAAATGTTAGAAGAAAGCTGAAGTCCGAACAAACTTAGAAATACTCAAGAGTCAGGGGCCTCGCCCTCATCAGCTTCTTCATCTGATGAAATATATCAAATAATAATTTGTGACACGCTAGGTCGATCCACCAATGAGAGCGCTCGCGCTCTCTATGTCAGAGATAAAGAGAGAGATAGTAAGGGGAAAAGTGGCATTCCGTTGGATTTAAATGTTCACAAGGATTTAGCAACGGAATATGGTAGTTAGAACCCCTACGAACATAATTAGACTTGTCACCAATTTTGTATCTCGACAGAAACACCACTTTTTACCACTTTTTACCACCTTTGTACCTCCTTTCTGGTATGCCAAATATCTTTAGTTGTGGACGTCGTAGAAGGCTGGAAATTAACCTAGAATGTTTATCTTATCAAGGAGTAAAACTTTTGTACGAAAAATTTTTACATTGGACAATCAGCTAATTGGATAATTACCAATTAGTTAATTACCAAAAAAAGTGAAAAATTTTTATTGGCTCAAAATGATTAAAATCGTTTGAAACACGGAGAAATGTAGTTTTTAGAAAAACTTCAAAACTTTTTCAATTACAAATTTTTTTCGAGACTTAAAAAATTTCGAAAATTTGAAGAAAAAAAAATGTCCGCCAAAAGTGATCGAATTGCATGAAACGTGGATAAAAATGCTTTGCAGAAAAACTTCGAACCATTTTAGATTGGGGAATACTAAAATCATCAATATTTGAAGTTGGAGTTCAGTAAATCTCGGCATATTTTAGTATTTAGTAATTAGGAATAGCTTAGCTGAAAAACCTGAAAAACGTTAACCACACAATATTAGAGTTTCATAACTAATTACAATACAGCTTTATCAAATTCCACATTAAGAAACAGCACAGAAGGACCGTTTAAGATCGAACCGATTTTACCTGCTGTATACTATCATTTTATTGATTTCAATGATCAAAACCTCTCTGTACCGTCAATCTTGCCAATCTATACCGGGTATCTGAATGTACCGGACCTCTTCTTTGCCTCTATAATAATTAGACCCAGTTGTGCAAGAAATGCGATTTCTCACAGGGGCTTCTTTTAACTGTGCACCTTTTGTCACTCTCGCAAGAGGCCCGGTATTATAGGGGGGTATAGGAAATGTAAATATACCTTCCATCATCCACTGTGGCTTTTTTGTGTTGTGAATGCACATGCCGCTTCGTTTGCTATGCAAGATACCTCGAATAACCCCCATATGTCATTGCCTGGGTCGGGATAGAGCTGGAGATAGCATTGAGAGGTTGCTAGAAATAGCTAGACTTAGAATAAACTGGTGGTAGCTGGGTGGTGCTAGCATGGAGGTAGCAGAACGTAGCTACACGGGGTTTCATTGGAGTTGGTTATTTTAATGGCCAAAGAGTGCCGGAACTAAAGTTACTTAAGATTGCAGTTTAGGGGCAGTGCAAACCACGGTGGAGTCAGGGAGTGAGTAGGGACACAGAGCTACAGTGCAACAGTGCAGGAGTACTTCAAAAGAACAGTGCAAGTGATACAGTCTGCAACAGTAAAACGCCGAAGAAGGAGAAAAGATTGTGGCTGCAGAGGAGGAGAGGAGCAGGAACCTGATTGTGTTTGGGTTGAAAGAAGAGGAGGAAGAAGAGTTTCCTGCTCTGGTAACCGTATTTTTGGAAGAGGTGGGGTGAGAACTTAATTCCAAGCGACACGGTGGGTTGGAACCAATCAGGTACAGCTATCCGACCTATCAAGATCACCGTCCTGAGCTTTGTACCGCGACAATTGACCCCCTAACAATTGACCCCCCGACAATTGACCCCCTATGTAATTACACTGGCGTCAATTGTCGCAAAATCTAGGGCTTAGTACGACAATTGACCCCCCATGTAATTACACTGAAGTCAATTGATCGGGTTAGGGTCAGGGTCCTGGGTCAGGGTTAGGGTTAGGGTTAGGGTTAGGGTTAGGGTTAGGGTCCTGGGTCAGGGTTAGGGTCAGGGTCAGGGTCAGGGTCAGGGTCAGGGTCAGGGTCAGAGTCAGGATTAATTGTATTAAATTATATTTCCGGGGGTCAATTGTCGGAGGTCAATTGTCGGGGGTCAATTGTCGCCCACCCCTAAGCTTAACAGCCTTTCATCATAGACATAATCTGATCGCTAGACTTTATTCTAAGTCTAGTTATTTCTAGCAACATCTCAATGCTATCTCCAGCTCTATCCCGACCCTGGCAAAGACATATGGGGGTTATTCGAGGTATCTTGCATAGCAAACGAAGTGGCATGTGCATTCACAACACAAAAAAGCCACAGTGGATGATGGAAGGTATATTTACACTTCCTATACCCCCCTATAATACCGGGCCTCTTGCGAGAGTGACAAAAGGTGCACAGTTAAAAGAAGCCCCTGTGAGAAATCGCATTTCTTGCACAACTGGGTCTAATTATTATAGAGGCAAAGAAGAGGTCCGGTACATTCAGATACCCGGTATAGATTGGCAAAATTGACGGTACAGAGAGGTTTTGATCATTGAAATCAATAAAATGATAGTATACAGCAGGTAAAATCGGTTCGATCTTAAACGGTCCTTTTGTTTTTAGTATTCCCCAATCTAAAAATGTTCGAAGTTTTTCTGCAAAGCATTTTTATCCACGTTTCATGCAATTCGATCACTTTTGGCGGAAATTTTTTTTTTCAAATTTTCGAAATTTTTCCAAGTCTCGAAAAAAATTTGTAAGTGAAAAAGTTTTGAAGTTTTTCTAAAAACTACATTTCTCCGTGTTTCAAACGATTTTAATAATTTTGAGCCAATAAACATTTTTCACTTTTTTTGGTAATTAACTAATTAGTAATTATCCAATTAGATGATTGTCCAATGTAAAAATTTTTCGCACAAAAGTTTTACTCCTTGATAAGATAAACATTCTAGGTTAATTTCCAGCCTTCTACGACGTTCACAACTAAAGATATTTGGCAAACTAGAAAGGTGGTACAAAGGTGGTAAAAAGTGGTAAAAAGTGGTGTTTCTGTCGAGAAACAAAATTGGTGACAAGTCTAATTATGTTCGTAGGGGTTCTAACTACCATATTCCGTTGCTAAATCCTTGTGAACATTTAAATCCAACGGAACCCTTAAATCGACCACTTTTCCCCTTACTAGATAGAGAAAGATAGATGACATTCATCCCGGCCCGGTCCCGGCCGGGACTGAATTTCGATCCCGGTCGACCACTGCTGACATGGTACTCTCCCGTCTAGACGAAATTAATGGACCCACGGCCCCCCTAGAGATAAGAGAATGGTCCAGTCCAGGAGGAGTACAGTGCTTGCGATAATGTGAACCCTACTTGATTCTGTGTCAAGCTGTCGAGGGGTTCACATCATCCTAAGCAAGTTATTAGGCAGTCATATGATCTGGTAACCATCATATCATAAGTTTTTCACGAACACCTGTTCGTGAACAGTGGTCGTGCTATCTGTATTCGGCTCAAATTATGTTTGCGCACAACACTTATCACACTGTTATGTGGTGTACGTACGTTGCAAATTAGATAGAGTTTCAGAAATGTTAACAGGATATACTTTTTATTCAAAAAGTGCAATTTAGGGGGGGTCCACGTTAAAAAAAGTTAAAAAAGTTAAACTAATTAATGTTAAATTTCAAAATTCAGGCTTAGAAAGTTTAACTTTTTTAACATAAATTCAAATTTGGGTTGAAATTGCAATGGAGTGAATATTCTAGACTAGTTTACTTTTAGGTCATGCGTTGGTATTTTTGTTCATTAGTCATAACATGTAGGAATATAGGAATGCCCATGACAAGAGTAAAACAGTCATATAACATAGGTACAACCGATAAATAATTGATACATTTGATCATTACAATAATAAATTATAATTCATAGAAATATAAACAGCTGATTCATAAATAATTTAAAAAAAACAACAGATTCCATTCACAGTGTCAACACTGAAAATAGGGCTGTGATAATCTATATCATTAAATCTAGTGATACTAATCGTAATGAATTAATAACTGAATAAAATTCTAATGATGTTTCATAAAAGTTATCGCTTAAACAAAGAGTCACTGTGTCACGATATTATATTACAAAATTTAAAATAGTGTCTAATGATATTTCATAAAAGTTATCGCTCAAACAATGAGTCAATTTGTCACGATATTATATTACAAAGTTAAAGAGTCACGTCTAATGATGTTTCAATGTAAAAGTTATCGCTCAAACAATTTGTCAATATATTATATACAAAAATATATTATATTACAAAATTAAAAAACAGTGTCAATGAAGTAAAAATTTTACAGGTGTTACTGTAATAACGTAAATAAAAGAACTTGAGGTTCTAATTTGAAGTTACTTATATTATTTAACCTGAATATAAAAGTCTATCATTAAAATAATTTTCACTATAGTGCAGCCGAGTCCTTATCGTCGTTCATATATTTTAGAACTTCACTTGTAATACGATTAACATCATACGGTTGAGGAATCTTCATTATATCACGACATACATCATTATTCAGTAATGAAAATAGATGTTCCTCAATAATCGCTTCCTCGGACATTCCTGATGTCCCAAGACTAGGGAGGCTACCTCTTATGGCCAAACAACTGGCTAAAAAAAGCACAAATCCTTCAGTACTGATCCTGAGATCGCTGAACTGTCACTTGAACGCAAACAGCTGATGATTGCGAATATGCAGAACAAATTCCCGACCAACAGGAAGCATGTCAAGACCAACATCAACCAGCTGAGACGTAAGATTACAACTTTACAAAGAGACTCAGAGATATCATTAACCGCAGTGCTGACACACTCGTCGAAGAGGTAAACAACACAGACGACGCCCGGAGATACTTTGGAGCCTCTAAGATACTCGCCAAAGGATATGTTAGACCAGCTCTAACCGTCCACAACCCTGCTGGGAATATCGCAGGTACTAATGAGGAGAAAGCGAGGATTATTAAGGAGTACTTTGAAGCTGAGTTCAACGACGCTGATGAGCCTACCCTTCCTGCCTTCCTTGACCCCCCATCTAGCCTTAACAGTCCCATCACCGTTACAGAGATAGAGAGAGCCATCAGTAAACTCAAGTCTGGTAAAGCAGTGGGTATTGATAAAGTTCCTGGCGAGGTCATGAAAGCCCTGAACAATCCCCTCCTTCATGAAGAGCTGGCTAATGTGTTCAACGAGTCTTTCGAGAAAAACAACACCACTGGCTAAGCCTGGTAAAATTCGTGGCCCAGTTAAGTCGATACGACCATTGCAATTGACCCTGCTGAATGTTTCTAGAAAGATCCTGTCACTGATAGTGCTAAACAGAATAGAGAGAGCTGTGGACAACTTCACCGGACCGTTCCAAGCTGCCTACAAAGCTGGCAGGAGCTGTGCCGACCTAGTTTGGGCACAGAGCATGCTCATATCTGTAGTAATGAAGAAGGAGTTTGAATGGAACAAAGTGAGTATTGACATGTCAGCTGCCTTCAATACCATCCGCAGAGGTACAACAATCAGACTACTAGAAGCTGAAGGATGCTCCAGAGACGACCTGAGGCTTGTACAATACCTCATGGCTAACACCACTCTAGTAGTCAGAGTGTGTTCTACTGACTCAGAGATGTTCTCTTTCAACATAGGAGCCTCCCAAGGAGACATCACAGCTGGTAAATTGTTTACCCTCAATCTAGCTGGAGCTGTAGTGCACATAAGAGCAGTCCTCCCCTCAAGACCCAACCCTCCGATAGCCGATAACCACATGCCTCTTGAGTCCGGCTATTCAGACGGTTTAGAGGAGATTGGTGAAGATATGGAGGAGTTACAGGATATCTTTCAGATCTCCAAGAATATTCTCAGTGAATGGAGTCTCTTTGTCAATGACACAAAGACAAAGTTTACCAGAGTGTATTTAGAAGAAGTTGGTGCCTGTGACGAGTGGGATAATGAACTAAGAGGAAAAGAGGAGTGGAGAAACGAGACGCTTCTTGGTACTAAGCTTGGATCAGAGCAGGATGTTACTAATAGAATAAATAAAGCTAACTCTGCCTTCTGGTCATTTGACAAGCTGTGGTGCCAGGGATCAGAGAGGAGTCAGATAACTGAGAAGAGAAAGATCAAACTCTACGACTCACTAGTAGTATCAGTGCTCCTGTACAACTGCTGCTGCTGGGCCGTACCTCAGCATGTTCTAGAGTCTGTAGATGTTCTTCAGAGGAAGCACCTCAAGCGCATCCTACACATATATTGGCCTAGCTCAATATCTAACAAGGCCCTCTACGCTCGTACCCAGACCAGGCCCCTTTCCGAGAGAGTGGAAAAGGCACGGTGGACAATGCTAGGTCATGTTCTACGCAGTGACAACGACACACCTGCCTACCAGTCTCTGTTATTTGCTACACTAGGATGTCAAACACTAAAGGGACGAGTGGGTAGACACAGGACTAATTTGTATGATATTATTGTGAAAAAGGACCTATTTAAGAGACAAATTTATTTAAAAAATGAAGATGATTTTACCAACTTAGTGAACTTAGCAAGAGATAGAGTAGGATGGAGGAGTTTATTTACTTTGAGACATATTAAACGAATGAGTCTTCGTAAGCGTAAATAGGCCAGCACTTTGCTGAGCCTCTTTAGGTGCTCTTTTGTTTATAGATGTTATTATATTATATAACTGGCTAAATGGCTCTTTAGATTATGAGAGCATCTATGTTTTGAAACAGAACTTCGATCTGGTTGTTTCACTTTCACACACCCCAATAGGTTCTTTACCTGCTTTAAGACTTCAGGGACTTCATTTTCAATATCTTCCGCGCTATCAATTACATTTAGATATTTCTTTGAATCCTGATTATTTTTTATTTCATTCAACGATCTATGCACAAGTTCCTCATCGTCACAACTTTTCAAATTGCTTGGACCTAGTGATCTAGTTAACTCTAGCATTACCGCAATGTGGGAAATAAAGGCAAAAGAATGCTTCCCTGTCACATTTGCATGGACATAATTAGTAGACAGCTTTCCTTGTATTTTTGGAAAAGATTGAATAGTTTCCGATGACAAGATTGGTTTCACACTAGCTATTGGGCATGGCTGATGCACAGTATTCTGCACCACATCATCTGTACTCTTTGTTCCATTCTGACATTCCGGGGTAGGTAAAATACTCATCATCCGACGACGTCTTTTCTTAGATTTTAGTCTTAATACCTGCTCCATGGATCGCACAATTGATAACGTAGGACACCTGGATTTTTTTCCTCCGAAAATATTGTATATATTCTGTAGGCAAGCTTCCTCTAAAGAACACCCAAGTCTGAATAAAACCCGTTGAATTGCTTTGGCCTTGATAATCTGGCCAGGTACCATGTCGTTACACTTCCACAATTCAATTTCAAAATTCGTCCTGACCGTGCATCTATCTTTAATCGTTTCGGCATCGAGCGCCTTTCTTCCGGATTTCTCATTACAAAGTTTGTTTTTCGGCGTGGAAGTGCCATCTTCTGTGGCGAATCTTGTAGAAAGTTTGTTTAAAACAGTCTCTTTCTTCGCAATCACAGGCTTATCACCTTTTCCATCGTGTACTGGCAGTCTAATAGTACTCAGAGAACTTGTTGGAGGAGTATTTCTAGAGTTCAATTTGTCCCGATTTCCCTGCTGATTCTCATTCTTGATTGCAGTTCCACCTTCAATGAGTCGTGTAGACAACTTGTTAAGTGCTGTTTCCTTCTTTGAATTTAACACTTTCTTGCTGCTGTTTATCTTATCAACATCAATTGGTCGTCCAATTGTGAATTTAGAATTGTCTACTGTGGGAGTTCTCGTGGTTAAATTATCAGTGTTAGCCCGCAAATGCTCCTTCTTCTTCAGACCCGTCGATGAAGATTTATCCATAATCGTCAATTTGCTTTGCACCGTCGGTTTCTTAATCTTTGGAATCCTAAAAGTAGGGACAGCTCTCCTCTTGAATGAGTTGCTTGTTATTATCGCAGTAGTGATAACATCAGCAGATGATTCGTCTTCAGAATCATATTGAGTTCTAGGTTTTGATGAATCAGCAGCCCTTTTTGAAGTGTTGACAACAACTGATACGTCCTCAGTAGATGGTTAGGGTACAGGGATTACAGCTGGAGGAAGCTCCGGAGTATCAATACCTGATGATGTGTCCTCAGTAGATGGTTCGGGTACAGGGATTACAGCTACAGGAACCCTTCAAGCGAATGAGCGACTCTCCTGATGCCTTCGCTAAATTGCAACGTCAACATCTGTCGTATGTGAGACTTTCCATAACCCTTCCGCACTTACACCGCCAAGCCATATTCTTTTTTCGTATTATATGAATGATTATATTAGTAAATTATACAATTATGTGTATATATAGATACAAGGTGTTTTTTTTTGTAGAGTTATCAAATCAGTTACAACTACAGAAAACAATTGCAAGAGCGAGGTACTACTAGTACTAAAGGTCAACACTCATAATTGAGTTTAATTTGGGTAATTATGTTAAAATTTGAACCGATTAGTCAGCCAAAATCTGATTTTTAATTTATGTTAAAAAAGTTAAAAAAGTTAAAGTAATTAATGTTAAATTCCAAAATCTCGATCTTAGAATTTAACTTTTTTAACGTGGACCCCCCCCCCCCCCAATTTAAGTGGTCTTTTATGGTCAGACAATGCTAGTTCTGAAGCACATTTGCAAATTTTGGCCCATCTGACGATGGGTTTACGCCAAATGGCTGTCGCGCGCTACTGCACAAGCGCGAAAGTGTCTGCAGAACAGATCAGGACTTTCGACAAATCTGTTCCAAATAAAAAGTTCGAAAATCGAGTGTTTTAGTGAATAACTTAGAATATATTTTTGATTTTCACAAGATCTGAATGACAGATTTTCTTCAAACTTTCCAGATAGTTAGATGGCTATATGACAGATAATGTGTGAGAGTTTGGGAGAATTTCTATGTGCCAAAATGGAGATATGACTTCAAACACAAGAAAATATCTCCAAATTGGCGGTTTCTAGCGGAACACAGGTATATATTTAGAGATCTGAATGATAGATTTTCTCTAAACTTTCCAGACAGTTGTATGGCTATCAGAGGAATAATCTGTGCGATTTTGGGCGAGTTTCTATATGCCAAACTTGAGATATGACTTCAAACACAAGAAAATATTTCAAAATGGCGGTTTCTAGCGGAACGCAGGCATATATTTCGAGATATATGCTGGAGAATAATGCACCTCTAAGTCAGCATAAAAAGCACATGAAGAAGTTGAGTTACAATCAGTTATTCTCAGATTTACATCGACACGCCGAGCTAATCAGCTTGTCTTTGTACTATAGAGTTCAACTCTGTGGAAAATTTGAACAAACTTGAAAAAGAGTTATCGCTGCCGATGTCTTAATGCTTTTCATACAAAATTGATGTCTCGGACCAAAGTACTAACAATAAAGTATGGAACTTTGTAACTCTCGAAAACTCAAACCGTTAACAAAGCTGAATCATTCGAGATTGATGGGTATAACGAAAGACCCCTTGGCTACTCATGCTGTTGAAAATCTTTCTAAATTTATGACAGGCAATATTGAACTATGTAAATCTGCGGCCAGTACGAGACAGACTGGTATCAGCGCAGCCTAATTATCAGAAGGATCAGTTCAAACAGCAACAGAAAGAGCTCGACTCTGTCCAGCAAACTGTACAAACTGAGATGAAAAAACTTGGTGTGACATCGTCAAGGAGAACTGTGGAAGGGCTGTGAAACAACTACCGGTGCTCCGTCGATTAAGACAGTATAAAGACAGCTGTTAAAAACGTCCGCAGAAAGAATTTCATTGTATACGGTGTACCAGACAATTAGGGCAGTGATCCACATATAGTGGCAGAAGAAGTGATCACCGAGATTTGGGAATCATCGGTAGTGTGATCCTGAATTGGTGACAGAAAATTTGATCAGGATTAAAAAACATGCAGATAGTGGTAACCGAGACCGATAAAAGTGACATTGGCTTGCATGGGATCAGTCAAAATGGTTGCTGCTCGATCAAGAAACCTGAAGAAATCTAAATGGGCAGCGTACCATATACGTGGTTCATCACACTTGACAGAAATAGGGAGGAGAAAGCAGCTCATCAGAAACTTATTGTAAAAATGAAGGAAAGTAATAAGTATCATTATATTACAATCGTGATTGTAACTCAGGTATGTGATGACTTGTAGAGCACACATCACTGAATAGCAATCGTGATGCAGGTCTCACCCAGGCCAGGTTTAGCTATGTATATAGGGCTCTTTTTTTGAGGAACAACTACCTATACCAGTTGTGTTGTGTGCGAAGCGTAAGGTACATCGTTTCATTTTTGGATATCATATTGGTATATCCTAAGCAAAAGAAATTCATATTTATCTAATTCTATGTAATTACTCTACATGTAATACTTTGAAATTATATTATAGTAAACATTAACCATGAATGTACCAAAAGCTGGTCCCCAAACAAACAAACAAAAGTTGACGTAAGCAGTAGGGCCATTTCAATATTCCTTCCGAAGAGCTAATAAAATGATAAGCAATTATACGATGACGTGACGTGTTAAAAGTATTGATTGTACAATCGCAACATTGGCTCATTATGATAGGAGGCTAGGCGGGACCGGCTTTTCTTAATAAGTATAACATTTCCATATACCTTACGAGACATATTAAATGGTACGAAATTTGGGGATTTTTGGAAAAAATCCCCATATTTTCGTACTGAATTTCTGAAATTTCGTACTGAATTACTGTATTTCTGAAAAAAATCCCCATATTTTCGTTCCCCCATATTTTCGTTCCCCCATAATTTCGATCCCCGCTAATTATGATCCACATAAATATGTCTTGTAAGGTAGACAAGTCCGTGAAAAAAGCAAAGTCTGTTATAGGCTGGATCAAACGAAGCTTGATCTGCCGTAACCAATTTGTTATGCTGAATGTTTACCGAACTCTAGTTCGACCTCACATCGAATACGCTGTGCAAGTGTGTAATCTACCAGCAGAGCACGGAAACTGGAGAACTATTAAAGTATTAAGACTATTAAGAAGATGTTCAAGAGAGAACTTACACGAATAATCGACGGGATTGGTATTCTACCATACGATGAGAGATTGAGAATCCTTCAGTTAACAACACTACTGGAGCGCCGTATGAGGAGTGATCTTTTTGAAACCTTTAAAATAACGACGGGTAAAGTGGACTATGGACAAGATCTTTTCAGGATATCACGTAGCGGTACCAAGATTCTAATTAAGATAAAAGAGGAAATCAGGTCCTCAGTAACCGTGTTAACAATTACTGGAACAAAGTACCAAGTTCGGTTAAAGAAGCCAGTTCAGTAGACGCATTCAAAGCTCGACTTCAATGTTATAAAACTGAACTGATAGCGAGTGCAGCATCGTCAAAGGCTCACTTCTAGGATCTTAACGAAATTTTGATGTCAAAAATAAATACATGTGAGCATAATTCATATGCATATTTCATGTCTAATAAGCCATTGATTGCTAAATACCAAGGAATCAATGTTTTTTGGTTGTTAAATTCAGAACTACATGTTCTAAAAATAATTAATCATAACACTAAAAATAATTAATCATAACATTTTCCGGATAGGAACATTTTTCTTTTTGAAAATATCGTGTGAACTGCAATAGCGAAGAGTGCAGTTCATGGGTTTCAAGTTTTGTCGAAATGGCTATGTATAATGTGGCCATAGCCCATAATCCTATCATTATAATTATTATTAGTACAGGGTGGGCCAAAAGTCAGTACCCATACGTTGGCCTTTATAGCTCAGTCACTGAGTGCCCAATTTAAATACTTCTTTCTGGTATGACTTAGTACCACCACTGGTTCGAGGAATTTGTCAACTCGAAAAATATTCGCGTTCATTTTTTTCAAATGGAGGTTCATTTTTACATTTATTTGATAGTTTGGATAGTCGGATCAAGCTAAATGTTATTGAATTGTGTTTGGCCATTCGAATTACGTTTGTCCTGAAAGAATTAGAACTGTAGCTTCTCAGATGACCGAGATATGAAGCATAACGAGTTTATTCATTACGTGTGATCAGGTGATTGGTTTACCTAATCACGTGATAAGGTGCCCCCGTTAACTACCCCGTTAAACATTATGGGAATTGTTAAGGGTGCCCAATTAAGGTGTCGTGTCACGGTGTCACATAATCACCCAGTCAATTTTGTTAACGAGATACAGAAAATGCTTGATAACTTCGTTATTTCTAATCCGTTTTGCCTCATGTTTTCAGATCATATGCAACATTTGATAATCTACCGTCTCTGAAAAAAATTAGGCGTTCAGCATGTTCAGAGAAAACAATATAGGTGTTTTAATATTGAATGGGCGTGGTCTAAAATATTAGAATTTTCAAATTTTGACGACGGAATCCTCGAACCAGTAAGTACAGTATGCCATCTGCAAAGCAACAGCTCTCAAATATAAAACACGGCGGAGCTATTAAGGCCAACGTATGGGTACTGACTTTTGGCCCACCCTGTATTTCAGCCCAATACAAGGTTACATTTAATTCAGAAATTTTGTTATTAAGCATTACACAATATGTCGGTGACTACGATAATCTTATCTATAACGAAGGCTTAAACAGAAATGCCCCAAGTTCCAGTTCACTGCAACAACCATGGGAGGGCTAAATTACCACATTGGTAAAAGTCACTTATTGCGGGATAAACTAAAGGGAGACAAGAAGTTAGTAAAAGTGATATTCTCACTACTGAGAAGTTATTAAAATAAAACGTACCGTGCTCTCTGTCTACCATAGTACTGTGTAGTGTGTGTACTACCTCCGTTGAACTTTTGCTTTATTAACTGGCACCAACTCACTGACAGAAGAAATGATATTAACTGCGATATAGTGAGTTTATTGTTTATTGACCAATAAAATTATTGACCAATAAAATAAATCTAATAAGATTCAGCGTAATTAATTGTGCATCAATTAAACCAACAACATACTATTCTATTTGTTGAGGTTATAATATTATATTGAACATCAGTCAATTTGAATAAACACAGCTCTACTTACAACAGGTTGTTTGGACAATTGCAATTATAGCGACAACAATAAGCCGCCGATCAGGGAAACAGGCCCTCCTCACGAACTCTCTGCTGTGCTGATGTGATGGCCCGTCAAGTCTTGGCGAAACTCAGCAGAGGTCACATATAGGATAGAAAACAATGTTACCCAAGAACTTCTTGGTCCAACCTATTGAACTTATATAGAAGAGTAGAAATAGGTAAGTTCACGGTTATCACGCAATCTGCGGTTTCCCGTTTCCGAGAAATGTCTTGAAGCTTGCCAAAGTCTTTTGATATTGTCACTATTGTCAATTTAGGTGAGAAAATTCCAAGTCTTCCAGCTTTCACAGCAAATGAGTAGTCGTAGGCATGGAGCGTGCAGAAGCTGATTTTTTTGGTGAGAGAAGATAGTATTACTTTAACTCTCAGTCTGGCATTCTCTCTGAACTGTACATCGATCATCTATAGGTAATTTGGACATATCCCTGGAGAACTTTCCACAGATGTATGATGGAGTCTAGCCTTCTCAGCATCTTAGCAGCCAGCAGGGATATAAGTTTCAGTTCCTTCGGTCTATTCCAATAGTCGGTGTTTTTGAGCCCTAGAATCTGTCTACAATTAACTGGCGTTGTATGCTCTCGACTGACTGGATATTATAGATCTTTTTTGGATTCCAGAGCAGCAGTACTCCACTCGCTGGATCTTAATACCATGGATTTGTAGAGCTGGAGCATTATAGGTTTTGTCCTGTCTTTGAATAGTCCAAGAACCCAAGGTGTATAGTGTGTGATGCCAGTCATAAATGGCAGCTCCTAGAAAAGTTACACTGGTTAATACTCAGGTTTGTGAGGGAACAAGATAAAATTAGATGACCAATTTCTGTCAGTGTAAATATTGTCAAACATGAGCGGGCTTTACAATCATTTGAGGGGAAAGAGCCCTGAAGATCAGCTATCTAAAAGTAACTTGGCTCTAAAGTCTAAATTATATTGTAGCGATATAAAAAGTCGCTGTATCATAGAAAATCTTGCTTTTTCAGAACTACTAGAAAGTTTGGGACTATAATTGGGAGCAAAGTAAAGTCTAAAATATGTACAATTGTAGCTGCTGTAGTGATGTGTTGCATCAAATCAAATATTAAAGATCAAAACGTACACACAACGAGAGCGTGTATATAACGACGGTATACATGCCATGATTATGAAACGATCTGTTTGATCATAACACGTGTGCGCGCGCAATTCTGGAATAATCCATTAAGAGATGAACTGTAGATCAGTGTAACTTTACACTGTAATGTGTATTATATAGCGTGTACACTGTACATCAATCATCAATGTATGCTATTTCTGACGACCTATGATCCTTTGTATAATAAGGGGTCATCCACATGTTTAGTAATCACTCGCTCAGGAGAAGGGGGTGGTGGGGGGGGGGGAGATGTTGGAGGGTTTTAAACGCAATTAATATGTAAACATGTATATTGTATACTGTATAGCAGGGTACCAGATAATGAGATAAAGCTAAACTAGTAGGCAGGGCATAGCTAATACTGTGGTACTGTTGGCTAACAAATACTGGGGTATAGGTTCGCTTACATAGTATTTTTCAGAGATCATGGCTGTAAAAAATACAAGAGTATTATACCCAACAATCAACATTCAAGACCA